GTTCACGACAAGGACAAGACGACGAAACGAGTGATAGCAAGAAGAAGGACAGCGAGACGGAATGGGCGAAGCATCTGCAGACCCACGCGAGTGACCCGAAAAAAAGGCAGCAGTTGAATTCGCAAGCAGAGAGCGTGCACGAGTCGAAGAGATCGAACGAGAATCGAAGTCGATCGAGTTGCCTCGCTTGCCCGCTGTGTCTCGATAAATGGCGCTGAATCAGCGTGCCAACGTTGAACCCCGAGTACGTTAATTCGACGAAGTTTCTGCGTGCGCGAGTTTCGCGGATTTCATCAAAGATCTTGCTAATTTCTTTCCTCAAAGAGGGCCACGTTGCTTCGAAATTCTATGGTCCGTTTCGTTTGGAGGGCGACAATTTCAAGGGCAGATATATTGGAAACTTGTTGAATTCTAGTGGATTTTTTTAAATAGTTATTCAACATATTTCTTTCTTTCTTTAAGAAATCCGTGCGAACGATGGATTTTAATACTTTTGAAATTTGTTAAATTCTCTTTTCATCTTCGGTAGTAGTCTCCAAAGATCCAATAAATTCACATTTCTGTTCAACATATAATTTAAGGAATTGAATTTAAGTTGTCGTTGTTGATTATAAAAAGTCAAAATACTGTGAATATTTCTTTATACATTGATTTTGAATCATTTACACTCCGAAGAGACATCTGTACTTAAATCTAGCTAACAGCTCTTCCTCTTTTTCTTAATTCGCTGATAATTATAATGAACGTATTACGTTTGGTCTCTTATGTTGCGATGTACAATAGTATGATATTTGAAAGCTATAATAAGAAGAACAAAAGGATTTCAGAAGAAGAAATTCCTGAAGGCAGTCTTCAATCAATTGACACTCAATAATTCACACAATTCGAATTAATAGACATATAAATTAGGCTTCTTATTCCTTCTCGCGAAAGTTTTAAAAAATGGCGGAGGACATTATTTGTCCAAAGATTGAAACTACGTATCATTAACTCTTGTATGTTACACTTGTTCTAGTAAACCCTAGCAAAAATACATGTCGATGATCGTTTTAAATTTATATTACGATAAAATTTCGTTTCGAACGCCATTTGAATGATCATTCCCAATATCATGTTATTTCATTTACGGTGTAATGCTTGTCGAGAGCGAAAGGGGTTAAATTTCGCACGAATGGACAAATTTTTGTCCATTCGTGCGAATTTCGCAAATTTTCATTCGTATCGCACGTTCGTATTTATTGCGTTATCGCGAGTTGCATAGTTCACGAGTTTCAAATCGAGTTTCAAATATAAAGAGAGTAAACTCTGTGAAAGAGAATGAAAA